GTACATATAGATTCAAAACATCACCACTTACCTCATCACAGTCACTAATGTTGCTCCATAATGCAGCAGAAAGCCGTAATGAAAACAACAGCTGGAAATCTAATGTTAGTATAAATTAAAAGAGATGCAAGTCAAAATTACAGACTTTCAAAACAGCATTATTACTGGGCTCCCAATCAAAGTCCAAATCTTCTCGGAGAACGAAGAGTTTTCCGCGAATTTCATCCAGCGGCAATGGATTAATTTTCATAGTATCTTTGGGTCTAAATAGACATAGAAAGTTACCTCCAAACTTTTTTTGGAAACTCAACCAAAGTTTCAAAGAGTCCAAAATGGCTGAAAACTCACTTTTATGAATAAGGTCCTTCATATGAGCTGTTTCTAAGCTCTCATGGAAGACTTTTTTTTTGGAAATTGTGACTATATATATATTCTTTTAATAAAAAGCATTAACAAAGCTTCGAACTCTCTTGAAAGAGGAGATTAGGCTACTTTACGCGAAACAGTTTGATTTTTAGGGCAAGTCTTCTTCAACCCATTCTTGCTCCTTATACTTAATCCAAAATTTCTATTGATGTGTAGTTACTGTTCATAGTGAGACTTAAAAAAAATTGAAAACTTGATAAATCAATTCATAAAACTTACGAAGGTGGAGTAGGAGATGGAGGCGGCATGGCAGAGCTGCCATTATCTGAAGGCTGTGGTTTCTCGCCTCGATTTGATGTCCGTCGGATCATCGAGATGTTCTTCCGCGGCATTTTGCCGCTTCCTCTATGAATAAATTTTGAGCTTGAGTAAGAATAAAAGTGCGTGCTACAAAATAGCACTAACCAAGATAGTAGAGGCGATAGGCGCATATAAAACATACAAGAAATAATAAATGTCAATATTTATAGCAAAACAAGTAACAATGCCGTATAAACAATCGGCGTACTCTTTGAAACGCCTTGAGAAAAAAAAACCTAATCTAGAAATCACTAATAAAGGCTATTCATCTTTTTTTGAAATATTCTTCCTGGGATGTCGACTTTGGAAACGTCCTCGTCGTTCTTTGCGACTCATATGTTCATCTGTGGTTGTCTCAGCTTCGCCTTCGGATTTCAACACCTAATGCAGCAACGGTAAAAATCAGGA